TTTTTTCAGCTATTAGTAGACTTAGTCATAAAATTCTTTTATTTTTTCCTTTCAAAATATAGCCAAGAAACAAACATCTTTCTTTGCTTTCTTTGCAGGAAAGAACCAGTCTCTGGATTATTTCCAGGCCATCTAGACAGCTATTTCAACTGGAACAAGTGACCTTTGGAACAGACTAGAACATAGCAGCCTGGCCAGACAGAGAGGAGGGAGTAGTCAACTGGGAAGGGCCCCAACATGTTCTTGTGAAATGTCATTTGAAGTAAGAGGACAATAAAAATTAAGGACAAATAAGTGAGCTTAAAAATATTTAAAACCAATGAAAAAGGTGTGACCACAATATGACATTCAAGGAAAGATACAGTAGGAGTTAATACACATGCTCCAAAAATACAGTTCTCCAGTCCCTTCAGTGCAAGGAATGTCTCTTAATTATAGAATATTCATCTTTATAAATCTTCATAGCCTCTTTGAAAACTCAGTAATCATTTGTTTTCCCTCCCTCAGTTGGGCCAAATTTCTTTAGTCTATGATTCTATAGTGTTTGTAGATGCTCTTAGAGAATTGTCAAGATCTCTATTTAGCAAATTATTGCTGCAGTGAGATAAAAATTAAAATCATAGGAAAAGATTTCATCAGAGAGAACAAAGTGATTATCTTCTAACATTCACTTGGAAGGCATGTTGTTCTTTTCTCTCCCGGAGGGCATAAGACGTTTTAGCTCACATCATTAGCAAGAAGCATGTTAAAGAAGCATTCAACCTTTACTGAATGCTTATGGACAAAATGTTGTGCTTGGCACCACAGGATATAAAAATGTCAAAGCAAACTTTTCTTCAAGATTTTTGGAGAATAAACAGAAAAGTTAAAAAAAACTTTATTAAAATATTTTTAAAAGATTTTCCAAAACAGTATTTTATATATTTTTGCAAAATATATTAATGATAATTCAAGAAAGTACAAATTATCAAGAAAATGTTATGGGATATCAGAATGTCCTCTAATAAAGAACTTGATTAGGTCCGTTATGTACTGGAGAGTCCTTTTAAGAAGGTAACTCCTACAGCTTCTAGCCAGGTTTTCTTTAACGAAAACAGCAATATTTAAAAGCCTTCATGCATATTCCAAAGTGCCTATAGATTTGTATGCAAACTGGAAAAGTTTGACCCGATGAATTTTGAGTATGCATTTGAATGAATGCCAAAAATGCAGGAAAGAGAAATAAAGTAAATTTTTCCAAATTTTTAGTCACACAGCTATCGTGGTACTATTAAGTGACACAAAACTCTATGTTGATATAGAAATTCCACTATTTCAATTTATCATGTAATGTCAGAAAAATTTGAAATGAGACTTCAAGCTCAATTCCTTAAGTATGCCATATTTTACATATTATTTAAGTATGATTTAGTTAGTACTCTGTCTTAGAATCCATGAACCGAAGTGGAAGGAAATGAATCCAAAGAAATGTAATGTCTTCTGCTATTTAAATAATATCCATATTTCATAAAAATTTACTTGAAAGCAAGGACATAGAAGACCATAAATTATTTTAGGTGGTCTCCTTATAAGAGTAAGGAAATCCATTTTGGATGAATCCAGAGAAAATAAGTTTTATATGAGGAATTTCTAGAAGTGGGTTACATTTGGTCCTTAACAACATAAGATCAAGACATGGAGCAAGTATGTAAGAATTAAGGTTTTGTCCCATTTATGAGATGGACATTGAAGGAGGAAGTTCTTGAGAAATTTATCTGAGCTTATCTAGGAAGAAGAGGACACAAGTTAGGCCCTTCCTGCATGAGATAGGGGGATCTGAGGGCAATTCTAGCCACGCCCATCTCAGCAGTGGGCTAACCAGCTAGAAAGGGTGTAGTTTAGGTGGAGTCTGAGATTTAGTTGTCAAAATTGAGTCCAAGATTCTCCAACTAATTTAACAGAGGTTGAAATCCAAAATCATGAATAAATATTGAATTTGGAACTATATATGGAAACACTGGAACAGAAAAATATTAGCAGCTAGTTTTTTTCATGGTTAAGTAATATCAAAAAGAGTAAAAAAAAAAAAATTCAGAAATGCAACAATGTAAAATCTATCAGAAATTCTATCTGAAAAATAAATTCCCATAATGTAACCAAAATTTTTTGAAAAAAAAATTCAAATCCCAAATGAAAGAAATAAGAAGAGAAAATTATTGCCATTGGACTGTCTTGATAGTCTCACAGTGGATATCTAACACTGTAGACACTAGCCAGTGCTAGGTGCCCACATTTAAACATAGTTAAATATAAACGTCTTATGGGAAGTTTTTGGTTCACACGGTACTTTAGAACATATTGGTTTTCACCTATTAATTCATATATTGCCTCACTTTTCCTTTATGACAATAAACTAACCGAAGGCAGGAACTGGTCCTCTTCAATTTAAACAATGTTAAGTAAGCAAACTTCCTAGATGTTCTCTTATCCACAAACTACATGTTATCACGTAAAGTGAGTAATAAATGAGCTTTATTGAATGGGTTGATGAATTGTTCACTGGTGTGCAAAGAACGTACGTGTGAGTCCTGTGAATCTTTAAAATACTTAATATTTTGTTTTCAAAAGGTTCAAAATGTTACGATATTCCAATAAGCCACAACTCAAATCTTATTATCAAGTCTACCTTTTAAAGACTATCTACCAAGAAACCCTTTATATTATTACTATGCTAAAAAGGCTCTCAATTTTGAAAAGAGTTATTATTAATACAGTTATTGCACCAGGCGCTTCTTGAAAGGAACCAAATTATGACCTCTCTCACCAGCAGGATCGAGTCCACTGTTTTCACAACTGAATGAAATTTGCTTATAAAGCTAAAATGTGTGTGGGCTGTAAGAAATGAAGTTAAAGTTCATTAATTCTTTTCCCCTCCCTTCCTCCCCTCCTTTCCTTCTTTCTTTCTTTCCTTCCTTCCTTCCTTCCTTCCTTCCTTCCTTCCTTCCTTCCTTCCACTCTTAGGACTCATTTTTTGACCTGGAAACCTTGTCATGTGATTAGCTTCAGAATGTTTCTAACTTAACCAGAGATTATTTAATGAGTAAATATACATTTATTTATTTAAAATCATTTATTCTCAGCAAAATCAAACATATCACTGAGTTTACATAGAAATACCATTTTCAACTGGATCTTCATAAAAATGCACTGGTGAAATAAATGTTCATAATTAATGACCAATTATGTACTATTTAGTCATGCCAGTAGCAGAACTGATTACCATTAAAAATTGGTAAAGTAACATATCTTAAGTGTGCAAATACCATCTTAGTACTCTACTGTGTTACCATTGGTAATAAATGGCCACTGAATATATACCTATTACATAAAGCTTTTAAAGTACAATAAAAATACAAATTCTATCTGTTAAAAAAAAGCCATTCATATGGCTTCTAAACATCCTCATTATACAAATTCCAAAATACTATATGACAAACAAAATTATAAAGATTCTTCTTTATGAAACATATACTAACCTCTAATTAAGGTACAACTTAGCAGATAACAGAAAACACCTAAGAAGGCTTATATATACCATAGAACATTATGAATATACAGACAAAGATAATATTGCATAAGCATATTTGATTTCTTTTCCTAGTGAATATGTACCTTTAGCACTTGACAAAAATTCCCATGAGTAAAAGAAAAATCTATTTTGAGATCTACCCCTAATCTAAACTCACATTTTCATTAATTTAATCTATTTTTCTTATGATGCAATGAACCAAATTATAAATTTTAACCATAAATTCTCTTCCACAGAGTACAAATTAAAGTCTGTTTACATAATGGGCAAGGTAGAAAAATAAACATTTTTAAAGTCAGAGTTCATAGCACATTATGAATTAAGTACAAGAAAATTTTGTAGTTCGTGATAGCCCAAACTGAGAAGCCACTTGATTTTTGTAAAGAATGAGATTCTGACTTCAACAAAAACAAATACAAATTAAAATTGCTAAATAATACTGATGATTCATAAAGAATAATTGTTACAGATTTGAAAGTATCAAAACTAAGGGGGCATCACAAAATAAAATTTGGTGAGAAAATATTTACCAAAGGAGAAAATATGAGAATAATATCATTCAGTGAGAAAAAATATATTTGGTAAAGTAAATGTGGGTAATAAACATTGCAACTATAGATGGCATATATTCCAAATTTTTTTTTAGAAAATACTAGACCAGATGATGTTTAGATGTTTAGCAATATAACTTATCTCATTAGAAATTACATTTTAATTGTTTTGTAATGAGCAGATTTTTGTTTTTTTCCATTATCCTTATTTATGAAATAAAGATTTAGAGTATAAATGATAATAATAGCTAACATTATTACTTTGCTTTTACTAATAAATACTCTAATTATTTGGTTTAATTATTATTGGAAATTATATTTTTGCTATTTTACCTGCTAAAAATGACCTAGTGGCATTATAGTCAAAGTCTACATTTTGCCAATGATATGAACAACATCTAACACATAAAATAACATCTCTCTAATGGATGGTAGGTAACATGCTTATTGGTTTGAATATAGAACATATTTAGTTTGGCATTGGTATATCTCCTCAAGACTTTGAAAGGTATCATCAAGGTATGGCTTTTGGGAATCAATAATAAACTAGCAGCCTGGAAAATGAACACAAATTTCAAGATGCTAATTAGTCAGAACTCAGACACAAGACAGATATTTGGATAATTTGTTTTTTGATTATAAATTCATCTACAAGAGAAACAGAAAGGAACATAAAAGTGTGATTTACTATACAGTGAGTTGTTTTTAAAATAAACATTATAGATCAATAGTGAAGGACATTTTACTAAAATAATTTGCAAAAAGTTAAGATCTTCAAAAATATATTGGCACACATATACTACCTGTCATAAAGTAATAAGGAGTGATGTATATGCATATACAACAAATTTAACACAAATCTGGATCTCTTGTTCTTGACATCAACACCTGCTGTCTAATGGGTCGAGACAAAATACTGTGCCTTCAAGAGTTAGTCCCATTTTGAACCCCTCCTGTAAAACAGAGTAAAATCATTAAAATAAGAAATGCTCATGGCAATAATAATAATGATAATAACGATGATAATCATGAAATAAAATGACTGAATGGAAGTTGAAATCTTCATGCTTCGATCAGCTAAGGAACAATATGGCAAATGCTGGTCTGTCAAATTTTTATATTGGTGTGTATCTCAGGTAATTGTTTACACCCATTAGCAGTTGAAATGTAAATATATGTGACGAAAGACAAAAGAAGACAGAAATACATGGAATTAAGTGGCTTTAAGACTTAAATGTTTCTTTTTCAGTAAAGTCTATTCTGCCATTCTACAGTAGCTTACATCTCCTCTGTTGGCTTTCAGGATCAATATTCATTTAAATGTAAGTAAGATAGCTAGACCTCAAATTTGACGAAAAGTTCGAGATAGCCTGATAGTTCTCATCCCTGTCCAGGGCCTGGGTAAAATACTTAATAGTAGGCGCAATGCCATATCCTACGTGGAACACAGAACTGCAGACCACTTTGTCACGGAGAAGGCTTCCTCTAGTCCTGCTATTGCTTGTAGCTGTAAGTTTTGCTTTGAGTCCCACTCCCCCTAGCAGGGTTTAGATGTTTCTGGAAGTTAAGTTAAGCTGCCCCTGATTTATTGAGAGCAAGTACACAATTTTTTTTTTCCTCCTAAGATTTTTTTTTCCAAGTTTTTAATTCCAGCGAGTTAACGTACAGTGTAGTATTTGTTTCACATGGAGGATTTAGTGATTCATCACTGGCTTACAACACCCAGTGCTCATCACAAGCGCCCTAAGATTTTGAGTTAAAAGTTAGTGGCAAAAAAGTTTGTCCTCCACTCCGAGCTCTCTTCTTTTTCGCATAAGGTAATGGGCTATCTCCAGATTAACGACTTCCTCCCCCCCTACTCTTGCCCGTAATCTATGTACACTGGTGTGCCAAGAAGAGATCGAAAGCATGGACTCACATTAATCAGAGGAACTGGGGGCCACTGAAATTTTGTTCAAGGAGGTAAGGTGTAGTAAGGGGTGACCATGTGACACATTATTGGTGAGTGAAATGTAAACAGACTATTCCTGCAGAAAATAACATGTCTCTCAGTGAGAAGGCTTTTGTCCTCTGTTCTCCTTTGCATTTTATTTCATTAAACTGTATCTACTGGTGTGTTAGCCAGTTGTGTATTTCTTTGCCTTCCCCCAAATTACTTTCGTTTACAACAGGTATCTAAATGTCCTTATTACAAATCCAGTGTGAACATGATCACAGAGAGGGAGAAAATCATGAAACTGCAAGCCACACCTCATTTGCTCTCAACGTTCAGAGTGCTCTTCACTGTATCTACAGCACAAAGACCACGGGGCAATGCCACCGCTGCAAAGGTTTCCCAAAACTTCTTTCCAGCACTTAGAATACAAATTATAGTCAGTTGAGTAAAAGTCAGAGTACTTACCATTATTTTTTTAAAGCCTGTTTTTATCACAAGAAGAAATACTTTGTCATATCTATGCATATTATTTTAAACAGTTGCCAAATACTTAGAGGAGTCAATACTTAAAGCTAAAGAGAGTGTAAATTAACTGTTTCGTATAAATATTTCATTTGGATATGTGAGGATCTGTGTACTATGTCATCTTCTGGCACATCAGATAAATAGATGATAGATAGATAGATAATGATAGAAAGATAGAGAGTATATATAATAACTGGGAAAGGTTTGATACTATACAGTATTTTAAAATTTTTCTCAATTCATTATGAAATGAAACCACTATCATTTCAACTACCCTGAAAATACTATTTATCAATGTGTTTGTGTTTGAATGGCAGAAGAGCAATCATAGTAAAATAGGGATCGGTCACGATTTCAACAATAAAAAAAAAATTTTTTTTTTCTTGTAAAAAATCATTTACAAGAGTATCTCCATAGTGATTTTATAAGGATCCCTTTGGAGTCTCCTTCAATTACTTTAATCATCCCTATTAACAGACCCATAATATTCTCTCTCTCCTTGGTTTTCTTTACTCCTAACATAAAATTTCTCACACAGTTTCTGACCCTTCCTCCTAGGTCTCATTTAGTAAATCATGATTTAATGATCAGTGAATCTTTCTCAGGTTTCCATATCCTCTTGAATTTTAAAACTTGGGATGAAAATCAGGCTTTATTTAACTTATCTAGTGATGGAAGTGATCATAAGCTAGTATCATGCAAATGATAACTTTATTATTAACATATTACTAATAATACACTTTTCGTATGAAATACGTTGCCCCATTGCATTTTCTTATTTTGAAATAGGGAGAAAATTATGTCAAGGAAAAGCAGTCTTCTGCAAGAATTGTTCACACACTGAGGTATGTCCTTTGAGGCTCCTTTTTTTCTATCTCTAGGTTTTTTAAAACAATTTTAATAATAACATAAAAACCATATGGCATATGTAACTTTCTTATGTATTTCATATATATAATTTTCTATATTCTTTTTAAAACTTAGTGGAACAAACATTCCCTATTGAGTCCCCATGAAACTAATTTAATGATTATATAATATCCTATTAATTTTTTTAAAAATTCAAGTATAGTTGATACACAATTACTATGTTAGTTTTGGGTATATAACATAGTGATTCAATATTTATATACATTATGAAATGTCCCCACAATACGTGTAGTTACCATCTGTCACCATAAAAAGTCATTATTAATATTATTGACTATATTCCCTATACCTTTCATCCCTGTGACTTATTTACTTTATAAATGGAAATTTGTACCTCTTAATCCTGTCTCTTCACTTCTCTTCCTTCTGGCAACCACCAATCTATTATTTTTAATGTGATTTAACTGTTTCCAGTATTTTATAATTATGAAAAAAGTTAACTAGAAGCTTTTGCCCACAGAAATTTTCCACATTTTTAGTCATTTTTTTTCTCAGAACAGATTGCATTAAAGTTTCTGATCTCAAATGAAAATATAAGGTTTACTAACAAATTACTCTTCGAAGGGATGCTATGAACTGATGGTGGCCCAGCAATGAGTTAGAGGGCTTGTCTCATCATACTTTCACCTGTACTGATTATTAGCAAGGAAATAAAATGTTTGATTTGCTTCATTAAAACAGCATTTCTAATTCTTTATTTAATTTGTAGCTTTTCTTTGGTCAGATTGCTACATGCATAAAAACCATGGTCTTTTGTGAACTGCTAGGTTTTTATTTATCTGATTAAGTTATCTAATTATTTGTCTACTTACCTTAAATATGTATATGTGATATATTTATATATTTTTTAAAGAGAAAAGAAAAAATTTACAAAAAACTATAGAAACTATAAAACTACATATTTTTCTTTTCCTTATAAAAATTTCTTTCCAATTCAAAAGTCTGATAAATATTCAGTTGTATTTTCAAACATTTTTTAAACTGACTAATCTTTCTGAAATTTACTTGGATATTTGTTTTAAGTTATAGCTGTGCACTGATCTTCTACCAAATTATTAACCAGCTGACTTAACATCCCTGCATGCAAAATTCTTCCATCTTTCTTGCCAAGCTCATTTTTAAAGGTATTAAATTATTATAACTTAGAAGGTACACTTCTAGGCTGTCGATACTATTTTACTGATTTGCCTGTCAGTGACATGTCCCAGGAAGTTCAAATTACGTCAAATTAAATAACCACGTTATTGAGTTCAAATAAATATTTAATTCTCTAACAATTTATAGTACAATACGACTTCACATTTCTGCTTACATTCTGACACACACAAGATACTTTTGTGATTTCCTCTGTAAGTGAAAGAGAAAACCCAAATATCTCCCTAGGCTTATTAACTCAATATTATTTATACAATCCACTGTACTGTACTGTTTTTACATTATATACAAAGATAAAAATAGTAGTCAAAAGTGTGCATTAGCTTAATTAGGCTAACAAGATTAATAATAAAAGTTGTCACAGGCTTTAGATGAAGAAAATATTATTTTACTTTAGTTAAAGTGACCTTGCAAGTAAATCTTGAACTAAAAAAACAAAACAAAACAAAACAAAACAATTAGACAAGCAATGAGGTGGATAATGCAATAGAGACTACACCATTGAAAAAAATAACTTTAAAATACGGATTATAAAACCTCTTTAAACACAACAATCAGAAACATCCATATGAAACTGCTGTTTGAATATTTATTAAGTAAAGCATGCAAATATTAAGGTTTTAGCTTTAAGAAGTTGTAAGTTGCTTAAAATTATTATGAAAATAATATACCAACCATCTCTGGCGCTACCCACCATGAAAGCAGAAAAGAATAAAAAAGACATTAAGAAAATATTAGAAATGGCAAAAACAAAAACAGAAGCAAAAATACCACAGCTTAACCTTATTTAACTAACACATCACTAAATCATTCCAATACAGTGTCTCTCAAAGCTAGTTCCTACAAAAATCTGCAAATATAGGGTAATTTTTAAAAATCTATAGAAATTTTTTCAGTCTTGTGAAAATTAAAAAAACATTAATAGAAAAGTACTCTTTGTGATTTGCATAATGCTTGAGAACAAACACCACCACATCAGTGCCCATGTTTGTGTTTGTTCTTATAAAAGCATTAATCCCAAGGAGCACAAACCTAATTGGTAAAACTAATAAAAAAGGAAGGGATTGATATCATATGAAATAGATATTCTTGCTAAGTAATCACGCACTATTTGAGTGAAAGTATTTCATAGTATTTGAAATATAGCAAAGAGGGAGAGAAATTGTACCACCAAACAGGATACATGCTGAAGTCAATAGAAATTTGGCATCGGTGGTTTTGGTTTCAGCCAAATAACATCACCCATCGTGTTGAAGTTCTTAATTTGAATTTTATTAGGTATTGTAATTTTGCTTTCATTTAACTTATAATTTTTGAATTAACAGTTGTATAGGAGCTGTAAGGCTAAGTTATTTATAACTTTTTTGGTAAATACTTAAGAAGTGTTACAATTTAAGTCAATATAAAGGATTTAAAATAATTTTTTCATGTAAAAGAAAATTATCAATCACCCAACTTGAGAAACGCTGTTTGAACATATTCTTTGAAAATCTCAAGGCGTATGTCAAATAATCCAACTGTTAAGATGCAGGCATTATTCTATCTAGAACAATAAGGAAATTCACAGAATACCTAGAAAAGAAGACAACTGCTTCACAGCTGTAGTCCAAAAGGAGTGGAAGGATATTAATATTATCTTTCTAGGAAGGGGTGTTCCACCAGTATTAGAAGATCAGAATCCACTATTAATTGTTTTGTCCAGGAAATGAAGCACAGAGAATGAATCACCTAATAAATGGGAATGACTCCTTCTCTTCTCTGCCTCTTCTCAATCAGCTTCCTATAATTGGTCTTTGCCTACATTCTACCATATAAATAGTCTTTTAGATAAAAAATAAGATATATTAACTTCACCAAAATGTAAAGGGCAAATATAAAGAGAAGATTTTTTTTTCTGGTGCTTTTAAGACCATTTATTAATCATGGCCCACCGTAAAAAGAAACCAGTATCTTCAAACTTCCAGTACAATTGAGAATTGAAAAGGGGAGAGAGAAGTGAAAACCCAAACGGACTACATTACTAAAGAAGGTGTCACTGGTTCCCTGCTTTTCTAAAGAGTCCAGAAGTTAGGAACCACAGCTACAATGCCTCTTTTAAAAGAGACTGATTTTACTCTCACAAAGATTTTCCTTCATCTACCCATTCACAATTTGAACTTCATGACTGGTAAAACTGAGACGAAATCTTGTAAACCTACTGAAATTACCTTGTAATTTTTGGATTTCAAATTAATGAACCACTAGAATCCATGTAATTTTGTATAAAAAAAGAACCAACTTATTGCCATTGTAAATCACACTACTAAAAACAAAACAGAACAAAGTAAGACCCATCCTTAGCACACGTAGGAATATTTTTAGGACTAAATGTATATGAATATTTTAAAGCAATTGTTTCAAGTAGGTTTTTATAGTGATAATAATTCAAGGAAAGGGTAGTTTTGGTGTGTCCAAATTTCTTTGTGTCCATTTTCTGTGTCCCATATTAAAAAGAAATAAACCATTTATAGGCCAATCTGTTAAAATAGTCACCTGCATTTCATCTAATTTTGATTGAATATCTGGAGGAAAATCCCCTGCGCCACAGTTAAATGGGTCAAAAGGTTCTGCTCCAAACAGGTCCCGTTCTAAAAGGAAGAAAATAATTTAGTAAATGAAATGACAAGAAGTGAGTTGGGGTGAGTTAGGTTTCCAAGGCAAGATTATATAAAGAACTACTCATATGGCCAAATGAGCTCCTATCCACACACACTTTATGCTGGGCTTTCCTGAGCTTAGACCAACAAAGAAGCAAAGATCCATTTTATGACAATATTAAAAACTCTCTGGTTTCAAGGAATTATTAGCCAGAGAGATTTCTGTGTCTTTAATTAAAACTTCTCAATATCAAATTCACCAAATATTTGAAATTACTGTATTACAATACCTGAATTTTTACTGAAGCAGTTTAAATTTACCACAGTGAATGTATTACTTATTGAGACTTCTCTATTCCCTTTACTGATGCCTTTGTAACACAATAGATCATGAAGCAATATGAGGGACCAAGGTAGATTGGTAAATAGTTTTACTCATAGCTCATTATACCTTAATCTCACATTTATTTAGAGAAAACTTAAGGCACATTGTCTCATGTACTATGAAATTATATCACCTTCCTAAATAAACACAATGGGACAGGTTCTTTAAAAATGTCTCCTAACCCAGAAACAAATTTCTTTTTAAAAATAGCAATAATGGAATATCAAAAAGGTCTCTGTAACATACATTCTAAAGTACATACTTTTTTAACCACTAAATAAGTATCAAAGTTAAAATTGGTAAAACTATGGCCTGTTATTTAAAAATTTAAAAATTATGAAATTTCTTCTGAATCAATTCCAATGCAGCCTTAATGGACACAATTTTTTAAAATTATATAGGTGCATGGGAATTTATAATATATTAAGAAAAACTATATCCTCAAAATTCCATGCTATGTAAGAAGTAATATTTATGTTCCTTGAGTTCTACCATATCATGTAAATTAATCTGCGACCCTCATTATGAAAGACTCCTGCTTTTCTAATTATAACTGTTCTTTTCAAATTCATGTATTAAATAAGTAAAAAATTTTTATAAGTTCCTGGTGCTGATAAGTATTGTATAACTAAGAGGGACATATACTTTATCATCCAAACAAAAGACACTTTTAAGAGTAAAAGGAATGCTACCAACAGTTAAAGCAGGATAAAAGTTATAAACCAAAACTGTCCTAAATAAATGGGAATTTATTGTCACCTTATATATGAATATTATATATATGATATAATGCATATAGGTATTATATATGGGTATGGGTGTTATTATTACTGTTATTTTCCTCAGTCTGATGTAGCTCAGGCAATAAATCAAAACTTGGAGAACAAAGGGACTTTTCTTTGGAGGAGTGCCCTGGTTACCACCATACCACAAGCCTGTCCAACAAGGCTTTACACATGATAGATGTTCGTGAAAAGAAATGAATTAATGAGGGCGCCTGGATGGCTCAGTCGTTAAGCGTCTGCCTTCAGCTCAGGTCATGATCCCAGGGTCCTGGGATCGAGACCCACATTGGGCTCCCTGCTCGGCAGGAAGCCTGCTTCTCCCTCTCCCACTCTCCCTGCTTGTGTTCCTGCTCTCGTTCTCTCTCTTTCTGTCAAATAAATAAATAAAATCTTAAAAAAAAAAGAAATCAATTAATGAAAAGGAAGAAGAGCTGATCAAGAAGAATAGAGATTTTCATTACAGGCATATCTCATTTTATTGTGCTTTGCTTTACAGTGCTTCACAGAGACTGTGGTTTTTTACAAATTAAAAAGATTTGTGGAAATTCTGTATCAAGTAAGTCTGTCTGTACCATTCTTCCAATAGCATTTGCTATAAAGATAGACAGATATGGTATGGGGTATCTAGAATTCTATCTATCTATCTATCTATCTATCTATCTATCCATCTACCTATCATCATCTATCTTTCATTGTATTTACTAAACTTTAGCACTCAGGATCATCAGATATTAAAAAATGTAGCAAGGTGTTACTTCAGTTTCTCATTAAAAAATTCCTTAAAACTATCTGAGCATCTTTGCCTAGATTTTCTAAAAGCACATCAAATTTATCAATGTCTACAACAGAACACATTTTTCACCTTTCTACCTCTAGTTTTCCCTGTTAACAACATTCAGTCTAAAATCCTGAGTCATAATTGATTATGAACTCTCAATCACCATCCTGATAGATTATTCCTTCTAAATATTTTCAAAGCTATCCAGTCTTCTCAATTTCTATTTTGGCTTTATTAAAATCCTCTTCAGTAGATATATCACTAATTTATATTTCAAATTCCAGCTTGTAACCCAAGTCTAGCATATATGCTATACAAATGCCCACTGGACTACATAAATGAATGAGTAAACCAGTGGTTAAGTCCAAGGAATTAAAAAACAGTAAAGGAAGAGATGTGGGATACTCATAAAGACAAAAAAATGCCCCATTATGTATCAGGATATTGGCAACTTTGTTAAAAACACACTATGGCATATATATTATAGATTATTTCCTGAAAAAATATTTTGCATTGGTACAAAATATATTCAGAGGAATTTCAATATATATTTCAATTTATGTAAAAGTACTGATATATTTTTGTAAAATGATTTTTGAGGTTTATAATGTTATTACTTTGCATTTACAAATTAATTCTCTAAAATTTATTGAATATCTAACATGCGTAATATATTTTGGTAAGTTCCAGAGGGGGAAACAAATAAATTAAAGGCCCTGACATACTTTAAGCCCAAGCTAAAACTTAAGAGTTATATTGAAAATGTCTTAATGTGAACCAGAGAGGATGCAATAAAGCATAGTACATAAAACTCTCTTTTCTTCAGTTTCCTCTGGACATAATGACTGAGCATGGCCATTGGGAACTACTCTTTAAGTTTCTGTGACAGGGCACAGATCAAAATACAATCACGACATTGAAAATGAGCATCCGTTGGATGCTTTCTAATTCATCAGTAAGAGACTCTTATGTTCCTTCCAAATGTATAGAAGGTAAATCAGAAAAGCGATGCATGTATAGTATTTTAGATATCAAGAGAGAACACTTATATAGGATTAATAAATAAATGAATCATGGAATTTATGTATTTATGTATTTCTTTAAGAATATTCCTATACTCTATGATAACAAAAAATTTATACTGAGCTCTACTAAACATGTCAAAAATATTAAAATAATTACCACCAAGTTGTTTTTAACCATTAAAACATTAAAAGTATAACCCCCAATACAATAAAATATAATTAAATGCTTTGTATTGATATAAATAACCCTATACCAAAAATATCATTTTTCATAAAATAGCTTCAGATGCAATAGTGATGTCTTTAGTAGTATACTCTGAATTATAAAGTTAAATATGATTAGCTGATTTGGCACAAGCAGACATAATTCTTTGGTAATTAACACTTTTAGTGAACTAAAGATATGAAATTTTCCATAAAGTGTCAATTAAACATTTAAAATCTACACAAATGTAGCAAAGAATATTGGTTTAGAAAGCTTACTAATCTCAGTAGATCTACTAGGTATTGGAGGTGGCTGTGTGCCATTGCGAGTAGGCATCGAAGCTGGGTGTGATATCGGAGAAAATGGTATCATATCAAAGATGTCAGTGGAGGGTGACTTAGGTGTCACACTGCCTGCCTGCAATGAAAATAGTGTGAATTAAGGCAGTATTTCAGGTAGACACATTATAATGCTAAATATTTTATATGCATAGAGAACATAGATAAACAACAACAAATTCAGTTGAATCATATGAACTTGCCATTTTCTAGATCAAATGTTGGCAATTCCGTATGATTTAACCAGGTATCCAATATTCATTGGAAAGAAAGCAACAGAAAATTTCTGCAACAATGACCTTAAAGATGATGGCAAAAATGGTGACAATACTATTGTAGATAGATATAAAAGATATTAGATATTTTTGTATATCTAGAAACAATTGCCATTTGTATCAGAGAATTGAAAATATTAGAAACTATATAAAAACATGATTTCTGTAATATATTCTCCATAAGTTGGAAACAGAAATAACTGAACATAAGTAATGCACCTTCTTAAATATGACCATTCAAATGCAATTGATAGCCACTTAAAAAAATTTCGAAGAGTATAAGTTAATCCGTATTTATAACTACAATGACAGCCAACTATTATATTCACTGCAGTGCCTTTTATTCCTGGGTAAGAGTTCATTAAGTTTTCTATGATAATAGCTACCTTGCAAAATAATTAATAATCACTAAATATACTACCCAAATCATTAAGTTATCTGGGTCAGTCTGGGTCAAGATGTAACATAAGAATGAAACAATCGGGGGCGCCCGGGTGGCTCAGTGGTTCGTTAAGCGTCTGCCTTCTGCTCAGGTCATGATCCCAGGGTCCTGGGATCGAGCCCCGCATCGGGCTCCCTGCTTGGCGGGAAATCTGCTTCTCCCTCTCCCACTCCCCCTGCTTGTGTTCCTGCTCTCGCTGTCTCTCTGTCAAATAAATAAATAAAAATCTTCATTAAAAAAAAATGAAACAATCATCACTTTGTCATTCAGGGGGAAAAAAAACACATACATGCACACACAATCTAGAAAAGAAAGAAAATTCCCATTTTGGTGAGGAATAGTAAGAAAAAACTTGGTTTTCCTCAAAGAACATGAACAGAGGTTATTTCGTGTGTTTCACAGTAAAATTAGACTTTTCAGAATACATTTATTTTTGTGAGTCACAGACAATGAAAGTAATGGAAGAAAAATAAGGTTGATTGTGTGCAAAGAGTGACAGAGTTACTATTCAGCTAATATGACTGTTGGTACATTTTTCATGCAGGAAAACTGGTGTCATCTCCTTTTCTTTAACAACATGCTCACTTTATCAGTCACAAATATTGTCCAAAGACTTTGAGGCAACTTTATCCCCCAGCTATTTCTTCCAATTCAGGAATATTGTTTTCCTGATCAATCCATCCCTCTATCTGCCCTGGCTTCCCTCTCTCTCCTCTTTCTCAGGATATAAAGACACTCAAATCCTGACTGTTCTTGAAAACAAAACCAACCAACCAAAAATGTCTTACTCCTCTAAACCTCTCATCTCTACTTTTTCCCTTATGGCTTTCTTGGAAGAGGTACTAACATATCAATCGAGACTTTGCTCTTTTTGTACCAAATGTCACTAAAGCTGCTTTTACCAATATCACTGACAATCTAATTTCCCAGTTGCCATATCTGAGGGTCCTTTGAAGTGACCTGTCCTAATTCGCCTTTCTGTGGATTGTACACCAGCACCACTCTCTACTTGAAACTCTGATATCAGGTAACCAAAGGAAGCAAAAATAGCACACAAAGTCGCCAGGTCCCATCACATTGATTCAAGACATACCTGATGTTTTTCATTATGATATAAATGGCACATTTTAGTAGAGTTTAAAAAAAATATGTGGGATAATGAAAAAGAATTTTCTGCTTAGCAAATTACATGAGGTCTTGGGATGCTGCTCTCACTGATTGGTTTGGGAAGGCCACATTTAGAAGGTGGTGGTATTAACAGTCCCAATGACAGTCTGGAATCAGGCGAGTTGACAGGAGTGACAGTAATGGAAGAAATATTTAGACAGGAAGAGGAATCATCACTACTACGCCAGAAAGATAAGCATCTCTGAAACCCATGTTGCTCATGATCAGACATTTTGTGCAGCAGCTGTAAAGGAATGACAGAGAAATACACTGAGGAGAAGAAAGAAGACATGGAGGAAAAAGGAAAAAAGTATATATGACAATTTATTTGTAAAGTAATATTTTGTGAAAAGAATAAGTAATTTCAAAGTAACTTTACTAAAAATTTAAAAAAATCATTTGAGTGTATTTTCCTATTGCAACAGTCCTTAGATTCCAGAATGTTTAATTTGACCATTTTTCACTGAAATATTACATTTTTAGATATTTAAATAAAATATTGCATCATTAGGACTTGCGAGGAAGACAATAAAGAGTAAAGCTTAATGATTTATTTCAATGAGAGCTTCTGGGTAATGACATGGGAAAAGGAATCATAAATAGTAAGAAAAAAAAGTCATTGAAATAGGAGTAAAGTCTAGTAAAAAGTAATGACTGTAGAATTTTCAAAAAAGGTTAAAACAATCATTTTAGTTTTAATCCTCAAAACATTTTTTGAGATATTTGTATTAGTAATGTTATGTCCTTATTATAATAAAGATATGGAAATCAAGGCCCAGAGATTCTTTGTGATTTATTCCTCTATGAGGTAAGAAGCAGAGCCTAATATTAAAATAATCTGACTCCAATCATCATGACCTTTCTGTAGGTTCTGAGTTCCAAATGGTAAGACTTCTCAGGGATGGGCAAAGGGGGTTGTCAAGCATCTCAAATAAATGAGATAATAAATGATTAGATAATCAGTAAATGGTACACTATACTGGGTCTGCATATCAGATTTTGGATGACTTGTATAAGTTATCTACATTACAGTATGGAAAGCTACTGGCAAGAGCTGAGCTGATAGGAACTGAGCTGTCAGAGTAGTCAATTAAAACAAGCCAAAATGAAAATAGTAATCCAGCCTTTATTCACTTACTGCTATGGTATAAGCAAGAGGCCAGAAAGAAGGTGCTGGCTTCATCAATGTCCCTTTTTTTCCCAGAAAATGGCACTGGGCTAAGGTTAGAAGTATCAGTGCAGAAGCAAGGCATTGTCTCTCTGCTGAGGGAGCCCTGAACTAAAGGTCCTGATGGGGGTTTTGTGTTGTGTTGTATTTGTTTTGTTTTGAAGGGAGGGAACAAGCCAGAGTGGGGGAAAGGAGAAAGGGCTAGGAGCAGAAAAGTACTGAATAGTGAATCAGAGTGGAGAAAGGAGTCTTCAAGGCCCTCCTAAGATGGCCTTGACAGAGACATTTTTAAAAAAGGCCATGGTTAAGGGCCTCCAAAAAGAAGGCCTCTGAATATAGGCACCAGGGCTAGGAATGCAGATATGCCATGCAGAAGAGCACAGCTGGCCTAGGGGTTGAGGGGCTGAGTCCTTGACTGCAACTCCTCCATACTGTGCACTGTACCTGGTGCGGGGAAGGCAGTTTCCCCTGGGGGGCTTGCCAGGTGAAGCTTTTGTAATTGCCCATGATAGAGCCTGACAGGATTGGCCCTGGAGCGGGACTTCTCAACTACTGGTCACACTTCAGGGATTTTTTAGCACTAACAAGATTTTGAGGCAGCCAACACAAATACGGCTTTTGATAACCTCACAGTGAAAGGTTATAACCAAAATGAGTTAGGAGAACCCACAAATTTGAAGGAAGTTTTTAAGCTGAGTCACCTCTTCACACATTTCTCAAAGCTGAGGAGAAAATAAGGCAGGGTGAAGTGAGAGATTTAAGCTGAGGGAAGGGTTCAGTGTGGAAGCAAAATCTCTGATGGTCTGAGTTATATAATGTACCACTCTATTAATATGTATATACAGTTATATAATTACTGTTTCCCCTATTGCTCTCCATAGTGATCTATCTGCAGATATGTATACATGTATGCCTGTATAAATATGATTTTAAATTCCATTTTATAGTCTATGCAGTTTACTGTATAATTTTGTGATTGGTGGCCACCTTTTACTTAATTTTAAGTGAGAACTGAAAGCTCCTTGTGCACAAAATTTTTCTAAAGTTTAAAAGAAGTATTTTCTAAAAGCTATATAACACATCAAAATACTAGACATATAATAAAATGTCAATGTATATTTATTGCAACTTTTAAACTTAAACTATAAATTGATCAGAATGTTTATAGTGAGTGAAACATGATTTTATGTGGAAGTTGTCCTTGGTATCATCTGGTTTATAAATGAATGTACTCTATATTAGCCCAAAAATCTTAACCAGATGCCTCAAAACAAACTGAGGGCCAAAATAACCTAACTTACAAGTGCTCTAGTATTTTATGATAGTGCTAATACTATGCCTTCTACTTACTCTGAGAATGTATACTTATACAGATGAAGAATGTATGTAATATGAAAATAATCAAGTTTTTAAATACTCCACTTAAGAGGTATTTTCATTTCCAAAATGGCAAAGCTTGGATATCTATAAATAGTTGCAGTATCTAAAGTTAAAGCCTCTAACACTAACCACCACAGGTTTCCTTTGGGTCATCAGTCATGTAGATTTGGTCAACTGGCATTTGTTGCTCGGGTCACACAGATCTTTGGATATATTGAAAACAGTTGCTTGCAGGTAATGTTAAGAGATTGCACATTAAAATCTGGAGCTTTTCTTGAGAAATTACAAAATCTAGAAAGTGGGCCCACAGACGTGCATGAAAATAACTGGTAGTAACTGTTGTGCCTCTTAAGTTGGGTATATGCTCTCCAATTCATCACTGTAACATAAATATCACAGCCTGTGCTCTGTTGATGTCTGAGTTTGTGATTCCTAACTTAGAAATGATTCAAGTCAAGGAATTAATTATTACATCTGTTAAATATTTTGAGTGGTGTTTCTAAATTTAGGGGGTCAGGAGCTAGTCATTTTTTAAGCTGCCATTTTTAACTGGTTGAGGATATTTATTTTTTAAGAAATTAAATACATAGAAGAGCTTGGTATTTTTGTGTCTTCTGTCAGTATTTTGACAGATGGCTAGAAACCAA